CAGAAAGAGAACCTGGAATGAACAGTGAACCCTCTCTCAAAGCACAGACCCACGAACTCATCTCGATATCCTCCTTATGTCAAAAAATCAGTGAAGACCGAACCCCGCGATCTTATGACCCTTCATAGAAGGTTTCAAACTGAACTTCCGTTCGCCGCAGTTGTGGTTGAGGGGATGGAGAAGGATAGGGGATATCTAAAGGAATTATTGAGCAAGGACCATTACCTCAACTAGACATATAAAGATATGTGCCAAGTTCGAATGAGGGAAGAAGCTCCGGAGCGGGTGAACCAATTTGCAGTACGACAATCAGCATTAGGATCCCAGTTCAAATGAGAAGTCTCTCAAGTGCCCCATGTCTCTCGAAAAGAAGCTCTACAACCAACTTCGAAAGCGGGCCCTATAAATGTATGAGGCGAATGCCCGCACATGGATTATTCCGTCCTCGGAAGTGAGTGCGCCCGCACAGCAGCAAGCCACTTTCTTCGCTCAAGAGCGCAGAGGAACGGGGCTGAAGGGTAGCGCCACCCGGGTACCATCTGACTACCCCGCTTGTCCTCAGGGGCGCAGTCCAGCAGCGAACGTGTGGGTAAGAACAAGCAGAAGTAAGATAAGAAGCACATTTGATTGGTTATGCGCGTAGCTGACCGTGCGGCAGCGCAGCCGGAGTCGGAAGTGGCACCCTTCTATCAAGACTATCTAGCCCTGTTCCCTTGCGCTTCTGACCGGATAAAATGGCACGTTATCGCAGGTACGAAGCCACTCTTCTTACATAGAGCAAGGAACAGAATCCGCGGAAGTGAGGATACAGTTCGTACGCAATGTATAGGAATCATCATTTGCATGATATTAATCTCCGTTCAACATAATGAGTCCCTCAAGTGCCCCTTCCCTCTAAAGGACTTGTTCCTTAGATTTCTCCTTTTTCTATGTTGCATTGAAAGCCCACCTCCCGGATGGCGCTGGTGAAATCCGGCTGGTAGCAGGTGTCGAACAAATTAAGCGGCAATCACAAACTGTAAACAGAAGAAGTTGCAGTATTCAAGGCTTACATGGCAAACTCCTTGTCCATCCAGCTACTTCAGCAAGATAATGTACAAAGTTGCGAAGTTGTGTGGTCTTGCCGCTACCACTATTGCCCGTCAGCACAATGCATTGATTATGACCCGTCATTTGGAGATTCCTGAAAAGGCATACATTTGTTCGAAAAACTACATATGGGATGGAAGAAGCAAGTTGTAGAGTACATCGGTTGAGTGATACTTACCTATATACCTGTTGCGCAGTAGCATAAATATGGGCGGGCATTTGTCCACGACGACATCCTTTGAATAGCGAAACAAGACGATCTTGACCAACTGCACCTTCTTCAACTGACGTGAGGCAAACAAGACTAATAAGGCCAGCATTCGTGTACGACAGGTTGCATCCAAATCTGCAATCACAGAATAAACTTATGGACTCGAAATCGATTCAAAAGTAATAGAAAGTGGTACTCACCGCTGCCGCAGCAGGTGTACAGCACTCGTCTCATTCAGATAACAAAGCGCTGCTACATCGCCTACTCGATCAAGATGAGTTGGATTCATTCTGTCGATATCGGTGGAATCAACAGTCATCTCACGACCAGCTACTCGGATGAGGGCTCGGCCATCAGGGAGAAGCTCGAGGAGCCGTACAACCGTATAACCGCCTTTGTGAACAAGCCAGTATCGCTGCTCCTCAGGGATGTCCTGCAACGATTACAACAGCTGAACTCAGCGTTTCAGCTTTCAGGCGGGTGTTTTGGGCTAGAAGTTCGCGCTCGCTCGAGGCTCAGTTAATACTTTACACTCTTAGCTTTTATGCCATCTATGGCAAAGAACCAATCTCTTGCTCAATTCTTCCAACAAAATTGCGCTGAATTCTTCTGAACGGATGAAAAAAAAACTAGCTACTGTTAGATTACCGCCAGAAAGCTGAGCTAGGGGCAGAAGTCAGACCCCGGGTGGGACTTGGACCCGCATTTTCCGCTGAACGAGCGAGTAACACGTAAGATACTTGAGCCTCGCGGTCCATGCAGATATCGGCCAATCCTCCTCGTCAAGTCAAAGGTGCGAGTGCTTCTGCGAGTGCTGCAAGGCTGCAGCAAAACGCCATAGGGGTAAGCAGCCCCGATGGGTTAATGGATAGCGTACTTGCCTAGTCAGCAGGCGATGCGGGTTCGAGCCCATTAGTTCAAGTAGGGGTTTTGCCCTTAACACAGCACTCTTGTGATAACTTTCGGAGCGCACACTGCGGCAGTGAACAGCACTTAGCAGATCAAAACAAATGCTGATAGAGCTGTACCTCGTAGAGATTCGTGTTGATATGACCAAGCATTAACTGATCATCGTCTGCTCTTCCACCACTTTGGCGGTGCTTTCGATCGCAGAATTCCGCCAACTCGGGAACAGACTTCACCTCCAGAACTGGAACAAGGTAAGGGTAATTCGCCAATTACAAGAATATTTCAAATGACCAATGGAAGCGGAATAACTTGGCCCCGTTCATACTTCAACATGTGAGCGACTCTTGTGCGATTAGAAAAGCGAGTGGCTGTGACCGACTTATTCGCCATGGCTAATCGCTGGATCGCTGCTACCATCGAGGAAAGTTCTATCCTGAATGCGATTGAATAGCAGCTGCAGCTGCCTAGCGATAAGCGGAAAAAGCGAGCCGGTCGCAGTCACGCAGCAGCATCTCTCGAGTATGTACATCTCAAAGTATGAACGGTGCCTCATGTATAAGTGTAACTCTTCTTTTAGAAAACAGAACGAAACCGTAAAAATAATTCAATGGAAAAGTGATAGAAATAGATATGATGTGATACCTATTTGATCTCCTGCACTCCGGACAGCGTTGTGCAGTTCATCTCGGGACATAGCATCCACACTTTTGCCATCAACTTTAATTAATTGATCTCCGGGTAAAAGACCATTCCTGGCAAAAATCCTTATAAATGCAAGACAAAACTGATATAAGGGCCCTTACTCTCTTATGCCCTTCATGTATACAACCCATATTTGTTAAAAGGACTCTCTCCCCCACTCTAGGTCTTTGAACAACACTGAGGTGGCTCGTCTGAGGAAAGTGAGGTCTCTCAGAGACACTAGGCGAAAGCACAGAAGAAATCAACCAACTTCAAGTCATCTGGCCTTGGCGGGCCTGTTCGTACATTCGAAGGTTCAGCGAACACTATTGTTCTCAATCCGCCATGTCTGTTGGAAGGAAACTGTACACGACGAATAGAGAATCCGAAGTCTCCTCAAATGATACGACTTATGTTGTATTCATCAGCACGGAACGGATAGCAGAATGAAAAATTTCACAAACTGAATAGATTTTACCTGTAATACTCTTGTTTAGCACCAGAGTACGGACCTTGACTTGCACAGCCGCTAGTGCTGGTAGGGCAAGACCCT